GGGAAAGCCAGCAGCAACCCTTCAATGAAAAGTAACCCATGATTAAAAAATATTAGTGTAAACAAAACCAGCCTTTTCCAGTGTCCTTCTCCCCAGAGGCATGACCTGCAAACACCAGCAAACAGGGCTGGCCTGGAAAAGAAAAGCAGGACCAGCACACTTACAGGTAGATGCTCAGGTCAGTGCATAACCTAGTACAATCAGATCTTGCCCTGCAAACATCTGTGCCCTTGCTTGACAGCACAGGCAAGCCCAGCCCCTGAAGGAAGCGGGGCAGTTTATAGCCTTGGCCATTTGCAGGATGAGGGCTTTACTTTGGTGTCCTGCATTCAGGTGTAAGGATTGGTACAGGGCTGTGGGCCACGGGTGGCAGAAGCTCCCTCCGAGAGGGCTAAGCCGCACTGGGCACCCGAGAGCCCAGGCTGCTCTCATCCTGCCGAACCCCTGCCCCAAAACTGCTTGGCAGCCTATGTGTTAGCAGCACTGGGGCGGTGGGCTCCAACCCAGTTTGTTCGGCACGGCTCAGCCCCCCAGGGCTGCACAGCCAAATGCTGGGGGAACTTTAGTGTTCCTCCAGGCCATCGGAGCAGCCAGACAGGCTGCAGAAGTCAGAGTTTAGTCCTAGCTTGGCTTTGCTACGCTCTCTAGAGCGCTATCTGAATCTCAGAGGCGCTGTGTATGCAGTTACATATACGATCCAGATTGAAGCTCATTTGCTTGCACAGCCCTGCAAGGGAGAGCTCAGTTCAAACTCGGTAACTTAACGTTTGCCAAGGTTTTGCATTTTGCACTGAGATCTACATTGCTACCCGCGCCCACGATGCCAAGTCAGCCCACACATCCTCCTGCCACCCATGGAGTCACGGGCTCTGAAGCAAAGCCTGGTGATACCACATCTGAGGGCTTACAAACCCCAGGAAGGACAGTTGCTAGCACGGCCCAGGGACCCAGCGCAGCCAGCCTGCACCCTTTGCAGCGTGTGGCAGGCACAGCTCAAACTTCTCACGAAAGGCCAAGGCAAAAGGCACTACCAGAGCCCCGGAGCTAGAAAGCAGTCTGGGAGAAGCCCGTCTCTTGCTGTTCCAGTGCCCACGTGTGGCCAAGCCCTGAATCTTTTCCTCTTTTCTTTTGCTGCATCCAAGTTCAGTGCAAGCTTTGCAAAGAAAGCAAGTGTCCTCTGCTGGCTGCAAGCAAAAAATGCATGTGGTGACACCCTGGCTAGGGACAGCAGGATGTGTCACGGGGAGTTTGTGACCTGACTTTGTTTTAAACATGGAGAATAAACCAACCGTGAAATGGAGCGACAAGCTGGCTGCTTGCAGCACGCAGCATGGAGGAAGGAAGGGGGTCAGGGTCTCTGTGCCTTCGGGCTGCGGGTGCAGGGCAGGGTGCAGCTCTTCTCCCTCGCAGCCCCGTTGCTGGGGGGGGGGGAACCCCAAGGGGGCCCCCCGGCCCGAAGGCCTGAGATGGTGGAGGCTGGAAAGGGGGCAGCTGCACAAGGGGGGCAGAAGATCGGAGGTGCCCAAGGCACAGGAGCAGAGGAACTCTTCACCAGCGCGAAGCACGTTTTGGGCAGTGCCTGCAGAAAGGGCATAAGAGCAGGGGTAGAATCCAGGATGTGTTTGTTCTCTGTGTTTCTGAAATAATCCCTCAGAGATCAATGGGGTTTCACATCTTTCCCCATCTGTTCTTAATCTGTTCGCTTGACAGATGCCAGACCACCATACCCCATACGGAAAAAAACAAAACAAAATACAAAGCCTTCTATCTCCTCTGGTTTTGTTCAGAAACATTCCCCGGAGCCTGGCTCTGCTCGTGCCCCAGGCGTGCGTGGAGGCCCAGGGAGGAACCTGCACCGGGGACAGATCTGCCATCAGCGGGGTTTTCACAGCAGGGCCCAGAGAAGGGCTGGCCAGGGCACAGCCTGTATCTGATGGAGCAGCTTGGTGTTTATGAGAACCTGATGACTCGGGTCGGTGATTATCTGCTGCTGGCATCCTTCTGCTGCCAAGAAGCCTCTACCAACATCCTGGTCCTGTTGTTCCAGGCACTGCAGGCTTGTACAGCCAGAAACAGTCCTGGCCAGGGAGGAGGTGGGCAGAGAGAAGGGAACTGCCTTGCTAAAGGTCACAGACCAGAGAGGGCCAGAAGGAAAACCAGTGCCCGTCACCCCCAAAAGGCTCCAGTCAGTTGGTCAAGCAGCCTCTCATCACAAGGTTATCTCAGAGTTCATCCCTGCAAGATCTGTTGAGGACGTGAGGAACAGCATTTTAATGGTGCCCATGAATAGTTTATTTAAGGCTCAGACTCTGACTACAGCACTGTTATTATCAGTGCCTGGACCAAAACATCTCTGATAATAAATAATACAGGATAACTCCCAACATCTAAAAATACTCTATCCTAAACTGTTCCCATCCTCATCCTGTTGGTCAGAAGGTGTGAGTGTTTGCAACAGCTCATACGGTAAATGGAGTTGAACTTTCTTCTTTCCGGATACTGAAACTGGCTCTTTTCAGGACACTGTCACATAATTCACAGCTCTACCACCAACTCCTGAATAGTTGCCAGGTTCTTTGGAGTCCTTTGAAAGTGAGCACAATAAAAAGATATGAGCCAAGACTGACCACAAGTTTCATGTCTGCAGGTTCCTACGTGCCTTTTTTGGTCTTTTCAGCAAGCTAATGGAAACCGATTCTGTATCTTCAAGGCAAGATGATGAGGTTTTAGAGTTCTCCAGACTAGTAACAACAGAGAATTGATACAGCTCTATGGCAGCCAAATGCCAGCGCATCTCTACGTTTCAACTTTACCGTTAGCCTCAGGTAAGAGAGACAAGGGAGAGATTTCCTCTTTGCATGGCATTTGCTTAATCATTCTGAAACACACTCCTGCCAATCTAAAGCAGGTTCGAAACAGTGACAGTTAAGCACCCGTACAATTTGTCTATTACCCCAAGAACAGGGTATTTGTGTAAGGTTTGGGAG